ACGCTGAACCCACTAAGCCAACACTGCTCTGTATTAAAAGGAAAAAATAATTGATTAAGAGTGTCTCGAATAGGAGATGAAAGACTCTAACTGAAGGCTGATAGGCGCAGATTAAGAATTTATGAGTGATCTTGTTAGACGCCATCACAATGGAGATATACTTTAGCGCTTTGTATTTTAAGTTTAAGTTGCCATCATATTGGTTGAGACTTTTAGATAGAGAGATTCAAAGTTTTTGGCAGCCCTAGAGACGCGGCGTGGCAGGCTCAATTAGTTCTTAGGGAACACGCGATCTACCCCTACCGTAACTTTGCATAATTCAACTATATTCATTTCGAGAGTGATTTATGCCCGCTGTCTTTATGTTGATTTGGAGACATTGATTATCCTGCGACTGTCGTGTCCTCGTTCCGTTTCATACGACTTTAATCTAATTTTCCATTTGAATTAAAGTGTTGGTAACTTTGGGCTGGTTTTGTATGTGATGTGAATCTCATTTTGATCACTTTTGCTGACTAATAAATGAATATTATTATCTTATATATAAAATTCTCGTGTAACAATGTTAGTCACCATACTCCTCCGAAACGGCTTGACCGATTTTTATCAAATTTTATATGCATATTCAGTAGGTCTGAGAATCGGCTACTATCTATCTTTCAAACCCCTAAGTGATAAGGAGTGTCCACACCAAAAATAAATGTTTTATTAAAAATAGATACAACCCCTAATCTTCACCCCTCTACGATCAACCCTTATTTATTATTATTGTAGATAGTTATTTTTATTGAACTAAATTAATATTTTCTAGAAATAATATACATAGCAAAACAAATGTTTGCCGGGTCAGCTAGTATTTCTATAATTGTAAGCGTTTTTTTAATTTCTGTTTGAGAAGTTTTAAATCGTTATTATCTAATAATAAAATAAATTATCTTATCTTTTTCACACGTTGTACTTTATATGTGATACAAGTCAAGCGCGTAAATAACCTTTCCTTAACAATTAGTAAGGGGTTCTGTGTAAGTTGGGTTGCTTCAGGCCGATATCTGTTCATGACGGAACGGGATGAGACCCGGAACTCATTATGTCGGCTAATTTACTCCGCTTCCTATATACAAGGTTTTCCATGTATGATAAGGGATGCGAATTGTGGGACATGACTCGCCGATCATAAAAACAAACTCTATCTCAAGTCATGGTGATGCCAAAACTTTTCGGGATATGAACGTAAGTTTCAAGTGTTAAGGTTGACGGATTGAGAGCTTCCTCACTTTTGAATTCGGTTAAAAATGTAGGAAATTACAAGTTTTTCGTAAAAACATCTATTGTAGCAATAAATATTTTTACGCAAAATAACTTTTACATAAACATCTTTTATACGAGCGATCCAGAGAAATACTTCAAACGTGTTGATCACATCCATGGCAGTTTGGCCTTAACTCTTAATCTTGGTTTCGATTCCCGTAAATCAAATATTTTTTCGGGTTGGTAAGTAGACTATCTGTTCACCAATATACGGTAGTGTCTTGTCGGGAATAATCCAAGATACATGATTATTGATTATATATTCAATAATGTTATTTCAACAAAATTTTCGTTCAAATAATTCATTATTCGGGTAATAATGAAAACAAAAATCACAATAATAAACATTTTATTTCAAAGATAGATTACAATATGTATTTCTTGCACGAAAACTCATTCATATTAACCTACACATTACATAACAAGTGCAGGAAAAGCAATTCAAATCAGCACCGTTATTTTATAATTATTAAAATCCGCATTTATTAAACATAGATTGTGCCTCGCAACTAAATTTAATGACCATACTCAGAGTCTACAATTATCTAATGACAGAACAATTATAATATAATGTAGTGTCGTTAAAACACTTTATAGTTTATGGGTTTCGACCGCAATTTGCAACGGTTTCTTTAACAATTTATCCTATCGTATGCTAGTGGGAAGTTATCTGTAACTGGTGTAAAGATTTTTGGGTGTTTTACTCATGATACGTGCACTAAATAAGTATCTTAATTGTGTACATAGAAAGATAAATGTATTGCACAGGCGAGATTTGAACGCACCGCGCGCTGTTCAGTTGGTTGAGCGTACGGCAATTCTTTTGTTGCGAGTGACAATGACAGTAGAATAGCAATCGCCTTTTGAACATAAGGATGCCTATTCTTGGACCCTACATCAAAAAAACAAATACTAAAAAGAATACTTAGTAATACTTACAAAAGCCTTGGTTGTGAAACGACGGACATTGAAGTGATACGGGTGAAATTTCGTCCGACAATGAATTTCAGTTGCAGGTCGGTAGGATCTGTACTAAACTTTTTAACCTTCCTTAAATGTCTCAAGTAACAGATATCTCAACTTAGCAACGACTTTGAGTACGGCCGTTAGATCAAAATTGACGGCCATGCTTATAAATATATGTCGCAGCCAACTAGCTTAATAAGCCATTCAATTAACAGCCTAGCCTCTTAACTAAACAGCGCCGTTTAACTAGCGGCCTGAAAGATGTTCAGCCAGTTGATCAAACAGCTAGGCAAATCACATAGATCGATGACGTTTCATTACTTTCCTAGCTTTTTAAGCTAATTAATAATTAACAGTTGGCTACGACATATGCGTAATATGCCTATTTTCTTACAACTATCAGAAACTATTCACTAACCATAGTAATCAGTCTTAAAAAATTTAACAATATAGTTTATAAAAAGTTATTATGAATCTTATAATTTAAATAATACTCTAGGAGCAAATTTTGTTACCACGAATTATATAAAATTAACTATTAAAAAACGCAGATATGTTGTTAGCTAACTATAAAAAGTAGTTTGAAGGTCAATCGTATAATTAAGCTTGAAACGATTTTATAATTGTATTAAACATTACGAGTTTTTTATTGGTTCAGTGTTGAGACCGGGTCGAAAACCTTTGAATTTTCCCACTGAAAAAAAAAACAATAGAAAATGTAAATTTGGCACAACAGTCTTGATTACTAAAATTAAATACATAACTTCAAATGATTTTTCGTTAATATTTTATGCTTAGTAAGTTACCCTAATGGTTTTCTTGTGTTGTGTTCGTAAATGTCAAAATAAAAAAAATCTAGACTTATTGCACGGTGACTGGTCGGACTTGAATTCGTGTATGCGGTTGATATTAGTTATTTCGACTTTGTATTTGCGTGTTGTTCCCACGAGAATGTAAGTTCGTGCTCCTATTTCACCATGCCTACTGCTGATAGAGGACAAATCTTTGTTTTTAATTTTTTTATTATTATTAATTACTTAAGATGTCATGTGGAGTATGGTGTAATGGTTGCAGTTCCTTTCAAACTTTGTCAATACCAAAAAACTTGGCAACTAAAAAGAGTGGCGGAAAGTTTATTGCCAGTTCTACGCCCTTGATTTGAGAACTGGCCGTAAATGTAAAATTAGAAGCATTTCATATTTCTTATTTTGACGTTCATAAGTGTACATTGCGTTACCTTCATGAATAAATGATTTTTGACTTGCCTTGACTTAAGTAATAAATAATAATAAGACTAAAAAAGTGTAAAACGTTACATTTTGTTTATGCGCGTAAACTCTGAATTGACTGACAATTACCGCATACGAGCAGTCAACTGATATATAAAATACGTGAAAATGTTCGTAGCATTATTTTAACTGAAATTTAGCACAAAATCAATGCCAGTTAATCGGTTCAACGAACTGAATGGCGCGGAACGTAAACAAGTAATATATATGTATTGTAAATTAAAGTGCAGTTATTTTATTTGTGAAATCATTATTTCATTTCAATCTATATTTTCTATATTTGGTATTGATTTAAATTACGCAGAAGATCTTTTGTTCGTTTTCTAACGCACACAGAGCTCGCACAAAATATTGATTTGAAACTGTTTTTACAGTTAAAACGAATATTACTCAACGCCTAACTCTCAACAAACATATTTCAGAATTATATAAATTATTTTCGGACAGAAAATGTTTACGCAAGTTTTGCGATAATATAATTTTTTTATTGTAGCAACAAAATATAAAAGTAAAAACAAAAGAAAACTAAAACCAAGGGACGATTTAGGGTCTGTACCTATCTGAACCACTGTCCGTATATCTAAATAAAAAATAAATAACTAGTTTCAACCCAACCCATTAATCGTACCTCACTGCTACAAGAGGTGAAAAGCGCTGTCAAATGCGCTCATATTTTGACCTGAACCCGAATGATGTCTTATATCAATAAATGCAACTTTATATTTTTGATAAAAAAACTATTTGTCGATTTATATATTTACACCGACCTCGCTGGTCGAATGCAAGGGCGCACAGCGCTTCCTTCTAATATTAATTGCAACCTAGATACTAAAACTAGACAAAGGTTTAATCTAGGCATCATTACGGAACCTATTTATATGACGTTAATTGCGCCGAAATTTAGACGCGTTAATTTCATTTCATGATCAATTTGCGTGCTATCGTTTGGTTCTGAGCGAATATTCTATTAATTTATTCCTTTTTGTTGCACTTGCATTTTCACATGTTTTAATATTATTAAACTAATACCGAAAATAAATAATTAATAATATGCGTTAATATTGTTCAAAATTAGTGTAATTATCTCTGTAAAAATATAAAGCATGAAGAACGCAGATATTATTAAGAAAATTTATGACAATGAATTATTATATTATGTATTTAAAGTATAAATAGAATAAGTGCGATGGAGATCACAATATGAAGTATGAGCTAATGGATAAGCCAAAAATATTTTTTTGTATAATTTAATGTCACAGATATGAATGAATTTAATAATAGGATTGAGGAAAATAACTTCTTTTTTTAAATTTTAATCTTTTTAATACTGAACTGACAGGCTTACTAAATCTAATTCTATTATAAATATATCACTATCTGGTGCGGAACTGTTAAATTAAGAACTAAAGTGTTTTTCTATTCTCTATATACCTGAGATCAAATGATGTAGTTTCGGTCAGGCTGACGGCAGCCCAGAGCAAAGGGCCAGGATCGGACGCGCCAAGCAGCAGCGACGTTTCCACTCAGCAACGCCACCACGTCATCCAGATATCTTAGAGCCTGTGACTGTGCAGTGAGGTCCCGGGCTGCTGCCGCGCACCGACATGCACGCGCCGATTCAGCCTATAACAACAATAATATAGTGTAAGCATGATATAGCAACAACATATACTTTATAGAAAGAATACATTGTATTCAAATGTTGGCTATGGCAAACCAAACGAAATCGAGTAATTTCAATTCTTTAGGATGTTTGACGTTAGATTATTGTATAATAATAATAAATGGTCTAATAATTCAAAGGCCGGCAACGCACCCACTAAAAATGGGTGCCTATGGGCTGCGCCCTTTTTGGGCGTCCCATAAGCTATATTTATTATATAAAAAAATAACATTTTAGTGGTCGTTAGATAGACCCTGTGGTTTAAGAAATTAATATAAGGTACGTATGATTTAGTTAAAAATAATCATTAATTACAACATCAACACTAACTAATATATATCAAGTGACCTTTTATTAAAACAATTGTATAAAAATGAAGGTGTCAAACCAGTTTTACGACTATTGAACACGTACTTAAAATTCAAAAAGGTTTTGACCAAAATATCTAATTTTAACATTCGTGATTACGTTAGTCATTCCCACAAATATTCTGCATGTGGATTAAATTATAAAAATGAGGCTAAACACTTCCGCAGGGGCTTTGAGGTAGCGAGTAGAGTTCGTTTCCGCCTTCTAAATATTTGAACAAGGGGATCATGTACTCTAATGGTAAATATTACCAGTTTACTTACAAGAATTACTTATGTAAAAATATTGTAATTCACAAAGTGCAATAAACGTACTACTAATGTTGGGTTTGGTATGCGATTTTTAAAATTTTGATTATCTTGAATACTTTGGTACTCTCTTTCCTTTTTTATATGAGTTGGACCGATATCATTTTGTTTTGAGGGTCAACATACTTTTATAAATCTATTTAAAGAACGCAAGAGAAACATAAAGTAAAATTGTAAATCATTACAGATAAAAAGTTAATAAAGAGGTAATTGTCACAGATAAGCGATAAACTGAACTCATTAAAATGATTTTGTTTACTAACTGCAAATTGATAAAATGCATATTTTGTATTAATTTTGCTCTACTTTGTATACGGATTATACTGATATAACATTGTTGACACTTTTGGAAAATATCAAAAAAGGTTAGCCGACATCATAGGAGACCGAAGAGCTGGCAGCTACCTCGGACAAAGATTTAGTCTAGCTATTCAAAGGAACGATGCCAGTATCTTCGGAACCTTGCCTTGAAATTATACTTTTGAAATTGTTTTAGCAGCTTTAATGTTCAATCTTACAAAAATTGTGTACCTACTAAAAGGACGGAGTACTATTAATTCTTAACTTTTACAGATATTGCAGAGTTTTTTTGCGCCCCAAACAGAACAAAATAATACTATTGTTGTGTCCACAAATTCTCATCATAAAATATTTTGAACAAAAAAGTCAGTTTTAAAAGCAAACAGTTAACTTTAAAATTGTTTGTATTGGATTAAGAGATTTTCTAACGATGTGATTCAAATTTTAAATTAGATATTTACAATTACAGTGCACCTGAATAATTATCATGACTTTCTACAGCGTGATCGACTTATTACACCATGTATGCATTTTTCCATGGAATACTATTTAAAAAAAGGGTGCTCTTTAATAATTTGTTAGTAATATACTAAGGTAACTTCTTCTTCTTGTATTTAAATCTAAGTGTTCACCTAAATCCGGGCAGACGACGCGGTCATCACCTACTTCCTGATTAAAAGATTGTTACCGTATCCCGTGATATTTACACGCGTTCTTAATAAGATTATGTCGGTTTATGTTATCGCGGTTGAAATAGAGCCTTTGACGTCAATTTTTAGCTAAACCTGAACGAACATAACCACATCGTTCAGAAAATACAAACAATATTAACGTGAAAACGGGAATAATGTTTAAACTCGATCTGTAAATCTGTGTTTAAAACCAACACTAATTTTATACGCGGAATTCCATTCGTCGTTCCATCGTTCATTATATCGATTATAATAATGTGAATTTCGGTTGGAATTTAAATAATTTATCTAAAAATCAAGCCTACGAAACGAATGTAACGTGGGGCTAAATACTATAGGCTATATTATGGACTAAGAGTTTAGAAACCAAACACCAAGCGTGCACTGTATACGAGGTGGTACGGGGGGTGGTACCAACGCGTCAGGGGTCGCGGCGGGTCACCCGGCGAGCCAGCACCTGCATGTCTTCCTGAATCTCCGCGAGTTCCTCGTGAAGATTCCTGGACTCAGCCAGCAACGCGTCCAAGCGCCTCGCGGCCGCTGTTAGTCCGTTTTCGTCCTCGTAATCTTCTTCGTCGTCTTCCACAGCTAGAGCTAGCTTCCCAAGACGCTCTCGCTCCAAGGCCTCTCGGATGCCTCCACCTCGCATTCGAAATTCTCTTAACAACTCTCGACGTATATGACTTCCGCTTCTTTCGTCTTCCTCAGCTTCCCTCAGCTCATCGGCAAGAGACCGTTCTCCTTTCGTATCTAGTTCTTGGTTTCGCGGAGGTGGGCTCTCTCTGTCTACGTTATGTGCTGTCACAGTCTTTTGGAGGAATCTCCAAGTGTCCTCGTCATATGGTTTGACGAGACCTCTCCTCGGCGCCGGTCGCACAATCGATTCCAGCTCATCCCGGCCCGGATCGTCGGGTTTTAGCAACTCCAGGATTCTCGCACGTCGCGGTGAGAGGGTTTCAAACCTTTTCTCTAGGGTGTAGAAGCCGTTAAGCGTATTACCGTGGCACTGTACATCGACACTCATGTCGCGCTCGTGCGGCGCGCGCGAACGCACTGATCGTAGCGGCACGCAATATTCTTTTTAGCAAATATTTTGCCTAGTTAGTTACAGTTACAGCGAAATCGGATTTCGATGAGTTAATTAGTGCGCGCGTCTACTGTCACGGCTCAACTGCACCAATTATTGCGATTGTTATGAAATTAAATAAAAATGGGCTAACGTTCCCATAGACAATTATCTTAATGTCATGTACTTATTCATAGCAAACAAAATTTATCTTTATCTTAATGAACCTACCTAATTTATTTGTTGTTCATATTGTTATTATTAATGTTTTAGTTATTATCAAATTGTTTGTTGCAAGCATAGCAAATAATATATTGTGAGATGTATTGAAACTTCGTTAAGCTTCAGTATTTTTAAAATAATAACTTTATAATATGTTCATATATGTATTATGTTATTAAAGCCTTAAAGTGTGAAGATGCCATAGTAGTGTATACAATTTAAATTTTATAACCTTCAGAATATTTAAGTGAAAGTTAATCGTTTTTGAGTTATAAATATTGTTATTTAGGATGTGTCCTAAATATCAATAAAGTTGTGCAATGTTGTGACATTGCAAAACTTTAAGTAAAGAAATAATTCATGATGCAATCGTCGACGCTATTTTTCAACCCCGTGACTACCTTTAGTAATGAAGAACACGAGAAATATATTTAGTTTTTAACAATATGAGTAAATTTGCTTCGAAGTTAATCTATCTAATACATCAAATTTCACATTGCTAAATAAATTTATAAAGCTGTTAAAAGTAATATTGAAACATCTGATTCATTCTGAAAAAAACATATTGCTAAAGGTAAAATTATAGTTCGAAAAGTCCTGCCCTGCGATTCTGTAACTCACTTTTCTAACTCACACAGCGGTTTTCGCATCGGCGGTCGCTCTCAAATCAGTCGTGAAGCAGTCATTTTATGATTTGGCATTCTAATAAACAATAAACTACAAGCTGCCACCTTTTCAGAAGCGACTGCCGATGCGAAAACCGCTGTGTGAGTTCGAAAAGTGAGTTACAGAATCACAGGGCTGTTCAAAATGAACTGCTGAATCAGCAGTACGAATAATATAATTAATAATGTTTTACAGCCGGGTGAAAGTCCGACCACCGTCCGTCCACCTGTTTTCAGTAAATTGACTCTCGTAACTACTACTGTGTTTGTTTGAAATGTCGTAACTGTAAGGCAAGATACATTTGTGTCATTTATTACGTAGAGCAACAAGTTTTGCCTGGAATCGAAACCAGGACCGGACCTGGACTCTATTCGGGGTTTCTAAAATTCAACCTTCTGACACTTTTAGCCATAGATAAACGACCTATTAATTGCAATGTTTTTGGATTAGAAGATTTTTATGTAATTTATTTGCCAAGTAAAGCTATGCAGACAACCAAAGATATAGAATTACTAGCTATTAAGAAGGTGCTAAAGTCTAGTGACACGGGACACCGCAAACGCCTTGTTATATATCACTTTATTGTCGGAAGCTATTGTTGTATTTGCTACTTCAACATGAACCTGATATTGGGTTTAATATATGTATATCTCTAATAAATTGGTTCTATAAATACAAAATCCTTTCAATTGCATCAATGTAATTAATGCCATCACGTCGCGATTTAAAAACATATTTCGTTATTTTGTGTACATATTCTAAAAATATTTTGTCTCAGCTTTCATTGTTATAGTTGATTAAAAAAAATCGACGTCAGCTGCAATAAACATGTGATTCAAAGACGTGCACTTTTTTAAAGTTTGTTCTAGTCATTAAATTACAAAAAAATGACAATTTAAAGTTTTTTTTCATAAGTATTCCCATAATATGAATCAACTTTAGGCATAGAAACACTATAAACAACTATGGGGGCAGGGCCAACCTTGGGGCAGGAAGAGCTACACCACAGTACATTTTCAATTACTTGAAGTTAAAAACTTAAGAAGAAGATTAATAAATACAAAAAAATAGAATAATTATAATAAAAACGGAAAAAGTGTAGTTTTTACTCCAAAACGTTCGAAAATGAATTATATTATTTAATTGTATTGATTGCTCTTGTATTTCCAAGATAATTAAGTATATTAAACGATTTTTAATTATTAATTTACATACAGATAAAAATATTCTCCTCCTCATTCGGATATTTTGAAGTCGGTACAAAGCTTATTGATATGGTTACACTCAATAAGCTTTTTACCGACTCATTATCGTTGTTTGGAATTCAAATCACCCATTTTAGAGCGCATTCTGCGACATGATTGCACTAACTTCAACGTCCATTCCACAGAAGGTAAGTATACTTTAATTACATTTATATTATTATTTAATTAAATCTGAAGTCATTCTGTATATAATCATTAAAATTTCGTTTTACTAATGTCCCAATACTACAACATACGTACACTATCCGGAGAGTACAACTTCATCCAAGCCACAAAGCTGGAAGAGGAAAATTTTCACTCTATTCTGTGTAGACTCTTTACTCATGTATGCCAAGAGGTAAAATTGCATAGAAGTTTGTTAAAGAGTGAACTTGGCCAATAGTACCGCAGATACTCAAGGAGAAAACTTTTTGGACTCTTCAAAAATAAAGAGGCAAATTCTGCCAGTGTTGGGAGTACTCTCTGGCTTAAAGATATCGAGATATTGCTTACAATAGTTATCATTTCCTTGATTAAACCACGATAGATATGGTGTATTCTAGAAAATTATGTTAGAATTCGGTAAAAATAAAAGTTGATCATCGTAATGTTTTAAACAAACGATAAAACCGATGTGAGACCGGTTGGATGCGTGCTATTTCACTTTTATTCAACCCAGATACATGTATTGATAACTAAGTTTCCGCTTGACGGCTTCGCTTGCATTTTTGCCGCATTTTACTTATGATTACGTATCATATATATTTCATAGTTATTAAGTACAGTGTGGTTTAGTTTTTTTTGTTATTTCTATAACCACCTCTGTCCTAGTGCTTAAAGAATATTGTATTCGATTTTAATTATGTTTAGAATTAGGTTTAGTTAGTTACTTAGTTTTGAAAAATTTAGGACAATGCGAAGAAATATCCTGACCATTTACGGAACTTCACAATGTACATAATTTTGGTTTTATGACACAATTAAGACATTCGGCCAATTTATCTGTTGTTTTTCTTAATTCATCTGTAACCTGTTTTATAAAAACTACTGTAAACATTTCTCCGTTTTTACGCGTAACATGTTAACTTGATTAATCTAAAATAAGTCGGTATAATCACGGAAATCCTTAATAAGAATTGATGAAATAGCTTTTATGCACATAATCTTTAGCTACAACAGATAAAGAATACGTATTTGATATACCTTCTTTAATGGGTATAATTTGTTATCTCTTAACTGTATGCATACAAGTCCTTGTTGATTACAAAATATCACGTACATCAACGACAAAAATACACAACCATAGAGATTTTAAGTGTACAATTAAAAACTCTTTAAACAAAACTATTCATAAACAAAGACATTGAAAAACGTTATACTTACCTAGATTTGATTTCTATTGCTCTATAGGACCACGGTAATATAATCAAACAATTAATAGTAATTTATATTGTTAATGAAACCACCAACATTCCTGGGCATCGCTCTCAGCGCCACGCAGCGGTGTAAGCTGTAAACTATGCGTTCATTAGCCGACACGTTCTGACCACAATTCATTGCAAATTGAAGATACCCTGTCTGTTTTGTTGTCACATTGCTATTAATTAAACAGTATTTGTGTACAGAATGCAAAAGGAGTAAGGGTTTGGTAGGACACGAGAGAATCAGATATGACATAGAATTTATATTGATTAGTGAAAAGAAGATTCTGTTAAATAGCCCTCCTTTCAGAAATCCAATAGAAAAAATACTATGAAATAACATTTAAGAAGAAAATACATAAATTATGTATATGTTTTGCGTGTGGATATCGAGAAAGAAAAAGCAGATCGTAACTAGAAGTATGATTTGAAAAGAGTACGAAGTATAGGAACATATTGAGAATTATTGTGCCTTGGACAAAGGCGTCTTGAGTTAGTTTAGACTCACAGTAATTACAGTAGCGTTATCACAATCGTCACGACAATTATATCTATTTATCGTGACGTCACATAGATAATGATAACTCACGATAACGCACAATATATCCGTATTTTTGGGGTTTACGTATCATCAACGGTGGTCTGGGGTACCCGGTGGCTGCCCGCGACTGGGCCGTGTGGTATTCGAGACCTCTGCTGATCCTGAAGGGGCCCGTTTTTTATCTAATTTTTTAGCTATCTTGATTGATTGGGTTAATTAATCGATTGGCGGTAACAGTTCTAACATCGATAAGGTTTACTAATTATTGACGCCTTGAACGATTGTAGTGCACTTTGAGAAAGACTTACAAGTTATTACTTGGATTCGTTTGCGTGAGACAAATAGTATATGCTTTTTATTTTAAGTCAATTTATCTTTCGTTACTGAATGCATTACTCAGAAGCAAATTTTGTAAATTCCCATTAGTGAATACTCGCAAACTTTCCAATTTAAAATCAAGAAGTATTGAGGGCAACACGTCTTGAGTTTAAAGGTAAGGACCACCACAAAACGCAATAGAACCTTTCTGGTCGTTCTTTTGTAATCAACTTCACAATAATTCATAATACGTCATAAGAACCTGTTGAAAAGATACCTTTACATATCAAGAGTACTTGAAATACCTTAAGAGATACTTGTATCGAGTGTCAGGGCGTGAGGGAAGTCACAGTTTGTATACGACTTTCAGTAATGATTGGAATTAATAAAGTGCCTTATTCTGCATGTGGGGTTCAGTCAATACGTTGAAAAACAGGGGGAAAATTATTTATTAAAACCTTGTTATCATTCCCTACGCTTCGTTGAAGAAGTCATAAATAGTTGTCTATATGTAGTTACATTAGTTGAACATGTTTTAAATGTTTC